ACATATAGTATTTGTCTTTCTCTGTCTTGACTTATTTCACTAGCTAATATCCTCCAGATCCATATACAATGTGAAAATGGCAAAATTTCATTTTCTTTATGGCTGGGTGGTATTTCATTGTGTGTGTGTGCCTGTGTGTGTGTATCACATCTACTTTATTCATTCATCTGTTGATGGGTGCTCATGTCTGCTTCTATATATTGGTTATTGTAAATAATGCTGCTGTGAACATTTGGGGTGCATTAATCTTTTAGAATTAGTGTTTTTGCTTCCTTTAGATATACCTGGAGTAAAATTTCTGGATCAGACAGTTTGATAGCTTCTTACAAAGTTAAGCATGCATGTCCCATTTGATAAAGCAATTTCACCCTTAGTTTTACCCAAAAGAAAAAATGGAAATCCCCAAAAAAGTCTTGTACGCAAATGTTTCTAGCATTTATTTCTAATGACCAATGACTGGAAACAGCCCAATGTCCATCAATAGGTGAATGGTTAAATTCCTCTCTGAGTTGAATCTGTCTTGGGACCTATTGGCTTCATGTGCCTGGATGACTATATCTTTCCTAGGTTGGGAAGTTTTCAGCTATTATTTATTTTTTATAAAATGTATTTATTTATTTTATTTTTGGCTGCTGAGTCGTCGTTGCTGTGCATGGGCTTTCTCTAGTTGTGGTAAGTGGGGGCTACTCTCTAGTTGTGATGCCTGGGCTTCTCATTGTGATGGCCCCTCTCGTTGCGGGGCATGGGCTTAGTTGCTATGCAGCATTTGAAATCTTCCCTACTGGGGGTCAAACAGGTGTCCCCTGCATTGCAAGGTGAATTATTAACCACTAGACAACCATGAAAGTCCGTGTATGTCTAATATTTGTCTCAATTGATATCCTTTGCCCTGGGTGGCAGTAGTTGGTTAATTTGCCTTTTTATGTTTTTGAGGAATATCGTCCATGTGGCTGTTTCTCTGAAAGAATTCTAAGTTAGGTGAAGTGAAGGCAAACCCTCTGTTGAAATGTTTTATTCAGGGAACCCCTAGATAGGTCAAAACAAACAGGAAACTTTTGAGAATGAGGTCCATTCTGTTTCCTCCGGAACCAGGAATCCCTTCTAGGAATATGGCCTGCCATCTTTAAAATGCTTCTGAGCTGAGGCGATCTGGGCAAAGGGGATGTGGTGAAGGTAAGCTAAAATGTCACAAGGTTCTTCTACCATGTTTTGTTTGCCTTTTTTTTTTTTTATGAGTATTCATTTGGTTGTTGCAAATTTTTGAATATCTTCCAGAATTTTAATAAAGCTGATTCTGATAATTTTTTGCCTGTATTTTCAGTTTCTCTGTAGAGGAATGGGTTTTTGAAGTTTCCTGCTCTATCATTTTTATTGAGAGATGAGTGGTAAAGCTAAAAAAAACTAAGAGAATTAACACAAAAATTCTCTTTCCCCCTTTGTTGCATAGGGAGATTGATTTTGGTGACAGGCTCACAGGATGCTAATAAAATGTTGATATTATTCCATGTTTTTCTACTGTGAATAAAGAAATTCACAGATATTTATGAATTTCATATTCTTTAAACATAAAATTATACATTACAGAGATGTTTATGTATGCATGGCATATCATGTAATTTAAAAATGGATTTTTGATAGATTTATTATTGTCTCTAATAAGATCCTTTCTAGAACTGTTTTTTTTTTAATATCTTGAACCTATGTGAGAACAAGGCAGTTTAAAACATGAATCTAGCAATAGGGGAAAAATTGATGTAACTGTAACCCACCAGACTCTTCTGTCAATGGAATTCTCCAGGCAAGAATACTGGAGTGGACTGCCATTTCCTTCTCCAGAGGATCTTCTCTACCCAGGGATCGAACCTGGGTCTCCTACATCGCAGGCAGATTCTTTACCATCTGAGCCACCAGGAAAGCCATACTGTTTATTCACAAAGAAGACAATATTAAGTTATGAGGAATATATGTTTGTATTCATTTGATTAGAAAGTTATAAAATTTTAAGAGAATTAAAAATATTTATATAATATAATCAGTTTAAAGAAATTAAAACCATTATTTATTCATGCATTTGAATGCTTATGTATGTTAGAAACTGACCAGTATTAAACTTGTTATTTGTAGGAAATGGGATTGTGAGAAAGAAGGATGGGAACATTTACCCTTAATTTTACACTTGTATGTATTGTTTGAAAAATTTATGACAACTGTACATTATTTTGTAATAAAAGCACATATCAAAATGTAGTTTTAAAAACCAATAGTTTCCTAAATATTAAAAATGTAAATAACTAGTTAGCTTTGTGACTAAAACATTTAAATCTAGTGAGGACTGATCAAGAACTAGTTCACTCATCCATTTCCAAAAACTGTTTCTTCACTATCTGCTTACCACTTGGTTAACATGCTGATGCTGGGAATAAAAATGAAAAATAGTGTCCTTATCTTCAAAGGGCTTATAGTCTAAGGAAAGAGATGCAAACACATAATAGACTTACCACAAAGCATCTGCAAGTACAATGAGGGAATGTGATCTGGTATATTCTAGATGCATTACAGAGGGACACATAGTTGAACCTGGGGATATTAGAAAGTTTTTTCTGGTGGAAGTGATGTGTGAGTTGAATCTTAATGAAAGATATAAATACACATTCAACATCTAGTAAGTTGCAACAGTAGGATACTTATTACCTGTTGAGTTTTATACAAAATATTTCTGTTCCTTTTTCAGCTAATAAGTTCTGCTGAGTCATTAAAATAGCAATTTTTTGCTCAATTAAGGCAGAACTGTGATGGATATTTCAAGCTATCTTTAGTAGCTTTCCAAGCACATTTTCTGATTCGTTTTCCTACCTTTTTTTAGATCCCTCTACCCACCTTTGAAGCATAGTACTCTCCAGTTGCCCAGGAGGACTTTCAAAGAGATACCTTTTGGTCTTCAGGTGAGAGTTTTATTCCATTTTTAAACTACAGCAATGTTTAAACATTTGTACTTGTAACTATTTAATGGGATGATTTGGACATTGGGAGGTATAAACATAAATAAATTTTAGTTTTTCTGACCATGTCTACTGCAAATACTTTGGGATGTTCTGTTTGTTTCCACCTGTGGGTATTATCTTGGACAAATATGATAGTTTTCCTGATTACTTTTAGTATTAATACATGGATTTTTAAAATCCAAGTATAATCTGAAACCAAATTTTAATTTTTTGTACATACTAACGCATATATATGGAATTTAGAAAGATGGTAACAATAACCCTGTATGCAAGACAGCAAGAGAGGCACAGATGTATTGAAGTCTTTTGGACTCTGTGGGAGAGGGCGAGGGTGGGATGATATGGGAGAATGGCATTGAAACATGTAAGTTATCATATGTGATATGAAGTACCAGTCCAGGTTTGATGCATGATACAGGACGCTGGGATGACCCAGAGGGATGGGATGGTGAAGGAGTTGGGAGTGGGGTTCAGGATGGGGAACACATATACACCCATGGCAGATTCAAGTCAATGTATGGCAAAACCAATACAATGTTGTAAAGTAAAATAAATAAATAATTTAAATACAAATTTTTTTTTGTACAAATTAAAATTTATTCCTCAAGACAGTCTGACTCATGCTTCTACTTCTTTTGATCTGCTTTTTTCCCCTCTGCTCTTTCATTTCTCCCTTCCCACGTGTCTATACTGCCTCTGGTTACTTTAGTTTGAGAGGGGAGAGAAGTAATGGTAGAAAGCCTTCTCCTTTACTGGTATTGCTGTATTACAGGCTTGACAAAAGTTTGTATGTTAATTTTCATTTCATGGATTTGTTTGTTTTTTTTGGTGAGGAGGGGAGCACCCTAAACTGCAGTTCCCCGATGCGGGCAATACTTCATTGACTGGCTACTTATGATTTCTTTCATTTCTGGATTCTAGTGACCCATTCCATATAGACTAACTTTGGGGATTGCCTTACTTCTCCAAGTAGTACTTTTGGGAGGGATCTCTTTCAAGATGTTTCAAATTTGTTACCTTCTATAAGTTTCAACTAGGCCAAAAAATTCTGTATTTGTGATATTATTGGTGAGAATTCAGTTTCCTCCAGTTATAGCCCAGTTCTTTCTACTCTGCTCTCATAGCTAGCTCTTCTATAGTCTTTACATTTTTTTTCCTAGGTGTGAACTAGGGACAGAACATGTGTCTCTTAAACTCCAGGGGACAAGGGCAAGCCCTCTGAGTGGATCTCTTGATGTAATTTTGATTTTCCTTATGAGGATTACATACTGACAACTCACCAACAATATTCTTACTCCTAGTTTCAAACAAACTTCTAGCCCTCCCCTTGTACACTATCGATGAAGATGATGAACTAAAAATTGTAGCACTGACTTAATAATCTCTTAGTGTATCCAACAGTGATGTGTGGAGTTTTGCCAAAAATTCAGGACAATGGGCATCTTTTGAGTTATGTGTCTTTTAAAAAATTTATATGGCTGTGCCAGGTCTTAGCTGTGGCACTTGGGATCTTTGTTGCCCTGTGCTGGATCTTTAGTTGCAGTATGCAGGATCTAGTTCCCTGACCAGGAATCTAACCTGGATCCCTTGCATTGGGAGCACAGAGTCTTAACCACTGGACCACCAGGGAAATCCCTGTGTTACGTGTCCTTTAAACAAAGTGTTAGACATCCATGTAAGCAAATAACCAATTTGATTTGTATCTCTTAAAGTTGTGTGGCCAGAGATTTCACATTGAAAAAGTTGAAATCTTCCTGGAAGCAAATATTAAGAATTTTTAAGAGTTATTTTTACCATGTGGTCAGGTGGCAGTCTCTTCCTATGGAACCACATTTATGAAACTAAAAGTGCATCAGAAAATAATCAAATATGTGATGAATCTTGCTGTTCACAAAAGTACCATGATGATTATGAATAGAACCAAATCTTTTTGGATTGGAAGAAGAAGATTATTTTACCACTTGCAAGAAGAGAGTCATCGAGTTTCACAAAACCTTTTCATGAAGTTTGCATAATTCTCATTCCACAGAGGACCTGATGGAGGGCAAATTTCATGTCCCTATTGCGTAGGCTGTAGATGAGGGGATTTAAGACTGGTGTCACTACAGAGTATATCAGTGTGATGATTTTATGCATAGAAACTGAGTTGCCAGATGTGGGGCTCACATACATCACCATAATGGTTCCATAGAACAGAGATACAACAATTAAGTGGGATCCACAGGTAGAGAAGGCCTTTTGCCGCCCAGATGAAGAAGGAACCCTAAGCACAGCTCTGAGCACCAAGGTATAAGATCCAAGGATGTATAAAACGGTCAGAATGATGATAAGAGAGCTCACAGAATGGAATACATGCTCTATTATGGGTGAGGTGGCACAGGACAATGCCATCAGTGGGTCCACATCACACAGAAAGTGGTCAATGATGTTGGGACCACAATAGGGTAGTTGAGAAATGAAGAGAATAGGAACTGAATGTCCTAAGAAACCAATGAGCCAACAAAGAGACACTAGAATGGCACAGAGCTTCCCAGTCATGATGGTGGGATAGTGCAGTGGACGACAGATGGCAAGGTAGCGATCATAAGCCATGACACAGAGGAAGAAGCATTCAGTTGTGCCCAGGGAAAAGAAGAAGTAGAATTGAGTGAAGCAACCAGAGAAGGATATGGTTTTGGTTTTGGAAAGAAAATTGACCAGCATATTGGGGACTGTGCAGGTCACATACCAGACCTCTAGGAAGGAGAAGTTGGCCAGGAACACGTACATAGGGGTATGGAGTCGGTGGTCCCACCTCACAGCACAAATGATAGCTATGTTCCCAGTTAGAGTCAAGATGTAGACCAACAGAATCATTGAGAAGAAGATGATCTGCATTTTCCAGGGACCGGGAAAGCCCAGCAAGACAAACTGTGTCACAGTAGATATTCCTGACTTATTCATGGTCCCCAGACTGTGAAAAGAAGACAGATAGACAACTCACTTTACCGCTAAGGCATTTGAAACTTTTCTTAGGACAGGCAGTTTGATTCAATCAGGAAAATGTATCAAGTATTCTAAAATATGTCTTGTGTAAATCTTGTCTTATTCTGAATAAGCCCTCTGGCCCTGACTCTTTGTAAATGTATAATTCTCGGCTGCTTGAACTTTCTTTGCCAGTGGACCAAATCTGTTAAATTTCATCTTTTCAAATAAAGAAATCTTGAAATAGAGATAAAAATTATTTGTCTATGTCTTTTTTTTTCAGTAAAAGCTTCATATATATAAGGGCAATTAATGCCATTCAGTTCAAAATGAAAGGACACATATGCTGTCATTTAAAAATAGATTGAATCTGATACTTCTTACAGATTTCAGTGATTTTAGCTCTGGCATTATTATTTCAGATTCTCTCTCTCTTTTTCTTGAACTATTTCCATTAGGAGATTTTCTATCACTTTTCCCCTATGATACCAGAAGAAAATAAAAAAGAATATTCAGGTTATAAATTAGTTATATATTTTGCGATCTTCTATTTAAAGACATTTATATTGTACCATGGCTTATTTACAACTCAGTATTTAATCCTTTATTTTTCACAGTGAAAGTCATTATTATTCACCCCATTATGATATATTTCACATGATAATTTATCACAAGGCTTCCCTGGTGGCTCAGATGGTAATAAGTCTGCCTGCAATGCAGGAGACCCAGGTTCATTTCCTGGGTTGGAAAGATCCCCTGGAGAAAGGTATGGCAACCCATTCCAGTATTCTTGCTTGGAAAATCCCATGGACCAAGGAGCTTGGGTGGGCCACAGTCTATGGGGTCGCAAATAGATATGACGGATGTGACTAAGTGACTAACGCTTAATTTATCTGGTTTCATATACACTTAAAATATATGTCATTAAGGATGAATATTCTTTGGAAGGACTGATACTGAAGTTGGAACTCCAATACTTTGGCCACCTGATGAGAAGAACTGACTCATCTGAAAAGACCCTGATGCTGGGAAAGATTCAAGGCAGGATGAGAAGGAGATGACAGAGAATGAGATGGTTGGGTGGCATCATTGACCCAATGGACATGAGTTTGAGTAAACTCCAGGAGATGGTGATGGACAGGGAGGCTTGGTGTGCTGCAGTCCATGGGGTCACAAAGAGCCAGATATATTGAATGACTGGACTGAAGGATGAATATAACATATGAGATGTATTACAAAAAAAAAAAAAAATTAAAATAACCAAGAGACTTTCTTCTAAAGCTCTTATTGCTGTCACAATTTCCCTTAAAATTCACTATTTGAAAGATTGTATTTTAGTCTGTTTATTTATTTATGTAAAGATATTTATTTATTTGGCTGCACTGGGTCTTAGCTGTAGCATGCAGGGTCTTTAGTTGCAGCATGAGAACTCTTAGTTGTGGCATGTGGGGGTTTAGTTCCCTGACCAGGGGTTGAACCTGGTTCCCCTGGATTGGTAGCTCAGAATCTCAGCCACTGGGCCACCAAGGAAGTCCCACTTTATTTAAACAATATCTCTCAATTTTCAAAATAACAGAAAACAATTGAATTGAAGATGTTTTAAAAATAATTATTTACCAACATTCCAAAATTTGCCCTTATTTCCTTTAGAATATCATCATCAAAGAAGATATCTTTTTAAGAATCAAACACAACTCAGAATAAAGATCATAATGATGGCTATAACATAATGAAATCTCTAGACATCTTTTAACAAGATATCTTTAGTTTTTTTGACTAATAAGAGGAAATTTTCCTTAAAAATAATTTTGGTAAAGTGGTATATGAAAGCAGTAGTGAAGTGGTATATACAGAATATTTATAGTATTCATTTAACATAATCAAATAGAAAAAAATTCTTTCTATTCAGTGAGGCTATATATTTAATATATATGTCTTATTTAAAGATAAGCATATTTATAATGATATAGATGTTGCAGGCTCATTAAATTAGTAATGCACAAAATGGACTATAATCCTCATCTAAAAGCAAACATGAGCTTCCCATTGAGCAGGTTGTGTCAGAGCAGTTTGTAGTCCTGTGAACAAGAAACCAGGAGGAGAAGGAAATTGAAAGATGGTGATAAATTCTTTTTAATTTTTTAAACTGGGATGATTATGAAGAGCTAAACTAACTTGCATTGATGCCCATTTTGGTGAGACATTTGAAAGGAGGGCTCCCCCCTATTGGAACCTGGTGCTTTTTAAGCTAGTGTCCACTCTTCTTACCAACACAAGAAAGTGGTGAAACAAAGAGTAGCCACTTACCTCTGGAGCAGCAGCAACAGATGCCTTGAATTCACAATCTGAGTCACAGACTATGACTCCAAACTTCACGTATTTGAGCTACAGACCGCTTTTTTTGACATTAAAAAAAAAAGAAGACCTCACAAAAAACTCACTCAACTGTAGTGAAAACATTGTAAATTAATTTAACAGATCATTTCCAACATAATTATGAGAAGCAGTACTTAATATAGTAACCATTAAACCCTGTGTGAATCTCAGTCTTCATGTACACGGATTTGATTTTATTATTAGAAGAATTTCTTAATGCTACTTTTCCTGAAGTTGCAGATGAGTGGACAAAGGTGGAGAAGCTAGCTAAGAGAGGATACCAAGAAAACCCCTCCACTTCTATTTTCTCTTGGGTTCAACTCCAGTGTATGGAACTAGTTCCACACTATTTTGTTCAAAGTATCTAGTAAAGTCATACCATTGCTGATGACCCAGCCACTTCCTAAAAAGGGAAAGACATGTGGAAGACTGGTACCTTTTAGTGTGCTAATTTTGGAGAATGTGAGTTCCATGGTGATTTAAATTCTCTGAATTTTTTGTTGTTGTTGTTCTTAAGTTGAAAGAGAAACCAATATTCTTTGATACTCAATCTCTTGAGTATATCATATGTACAGATGTATAGGAAAACAAGCCTACCTGTGGTGTATAATAGCATCAGTACCCAGCAGGGAAGATGTCTCCTAAATAGAAGGATGCTTTCCTAGATCACCCTGGGGAGTCCATAGATTCTCCTTCACTGGTCTTAATGTGGAAGCCTTGGGTGAGAACTTCATGCATATCTTATTTCACTTCTCTTGCCCCATAAGATTCTGGTGGTCTGCTTCCTACAGACTATGTTGTAATTATGTGCTGGTCTTCACGTATGCATCATTTTGGCCACTGTTGGGAATTGTTATTTCTTTCTTAAATGTGATCTTATAACTTTTCATGCTTCCCCTAAGGACCTTCTTACTTCTTGCCTGGAGGTTTCATTAATATTTCTGGTAGGTTGACTCATAGGGATTATTAGAAATAACATGATACATTGACTCTGGGGGGACACTGTGGTCTTCTTAAGTCTGTGTTTTTCAAGCAAGTATATGTGATTTTGTGCTGTGGGATTACAAAAAGTGCCTAATTAATATCTTCTGAGGAAGGGACAGTTTTAATCAGAGGAGATAATTTTGTATTATGCCAAATATGTGTATATGCCATGAAACAAAAAGTATAATTTTTAAGATAAATTTTTAATTTAAAAGAAATATTGTCTCTACATGCCCCATGTTTTCTGACCACAGGTGCCGAACATGCTTTGGTGGTAGAAAGGTCTGAGAAACACTGTACTAGAGTACTTCATAACCTAGCACCAATGGGCCTATCTCCCTGTCCTCCGTATGAACACCTAATTTTATTCCCAGTATGGTGATAGCTAAGGAGGTGTTCTCTCATTTTAGGTAGATTGGCTTTTAGTTTCTGATTTTCCTGACACAGCATGGGGTTTGGGCACAAAAATGGAATTTGTTATTGGTATAATTCCCTCTAAACATTTTTCTTAGACTTTGTCTGATAGCCTTCTGAGAAGCACAAAAATATGTTTAAGGCATGGTTACTCCATACTACCAGTGGTAATGAGGTTGTCACAATTGATTTAGGAGGAAGCAGTTTGAGTAAAAATGCACATTTAGGAAAAAGATTATTCAAGGTAAAAATAAGAAGATTGATCTGGGTGAAGTGCAGGGCCTTAGTGGATAAGCAGGAGAGAAGACTGAATGGAATATCTATTGAGTGAGCATTTGGAAGGCAGGAAGAAGAGTTTGTACTTTATCTGTAAGTGATAGAGGTATGAAGTATACTCTGTTTTTGATGTGAAGACAACCTCAAACAATGGATAATATCCATGACTATGTATTTTTTTTAATTTATTTTTATTAGTTGGAGGCTAATTACTTTACATCATTGTAGTGGTTTTTGTCATACATTGAAATGAATTAGC